CCCCCCCCCGGCCACCCAACCCCCGCCCAATCTGTTTTGTTTTTTTTTTTATTATTTTTCTTAGGTTTTGTGGTTTATTTATTTATTTATTAAATTATTTATTTTTATTGAATGATTGAATGATTGTTGGGGGAGGGGTGCCCAGACACACAAACACGAACTTACACACACACACACACACACACACACACACACACACACACACACACACACACACACACACAGAAGAATAAATGCATAGAAGAACATGGAAGTACAATGAAAACAAAGTAGTCATGAAATGCCATACAAAAGTCATGCCGAAATCGCATATATGAGTTCAATATGAAACACATGTCGCATGATACAGTGTGTTGTCGACATTCATACCGAGTCGTACGGGGTCGTATAACGATGGGATGCAGCCTTCACCGCTAACTAACAAATCTGAAAAGAAAACCCTAACAAACATCTACGTAATACGACGAGTCGGAATGAAGTCCCACCTCTAACAAAAACCCAATAACTAAAAAACAATATGAAAACGTCGTACATAAACAAAAAAAGTAGAAAAACAAACAATCTCGACGACACGGCCTGCATACTGAAGTCCATGAACTAGTCCCAAGTCCCTAAAACCTAACTATATGTACATCATCCTAAACAATGTACAAAAAGGTCATAACACTGAGCACAAACAACATAAAGGCGACGTGGAAGGGGAACGAAGTTGTCAATAACGTCGACCTCCCTTCCCCTTACCACTGCCTCTCTGCCTCTCCCCACCCGTGTTGCGTGTCGATGAAACACTCCCTCGCCCTGGCACGGTCGCAACGGATGACCCTCGCCTCCTCCGACTCCTCGCCTCCCACCGCCCTGGAGGGGACGGGTCGTCGACGTCATCGCGTCGTCTACTAGAGCCAAATCGTCTACCAGAACCACGCCGCGGTAGAGGGGAGGGTTCGTCGTCGTCGTCGTAGCTGCCGTCCTCCCCGCTGTCGCTCTCCTCCTCCTCACTCTCCTCGTTATCCCTGTACTCGTCATCCTCATGTGGGGCCTCCTCACGTGCAGGCTCCGTCTTGGGATCGTCCTCCACCACGGTCACAAGGCCAGCCCCCATCCTCACCCGAATAACCCTAGCACTCACATGAGTCACCTCTACGACTGTCTTCTCACAACGTGAATCGCGCGGCATCCCCAACCCCTCGGCTCCAGAAGACTCCCCCAATGCGGCACCCACCGCAACAGGCATGGGACGCTGACGAGCTGCTCCGCTCTTGTGCGGAGTCTTGTCACGCATAACACGTGTGCTGCTGCTGCCAAAGCGGCCTGCAAGGTAGACCCGACCTCTCCACCCCCACGCTACGAATCCCCCTCGGTGGCGGCCAAGCGCGGCCAAGTCCGTGGCCGTGGCCAGGCCCGCAACCCCGCGGACATGTCCGAGCGGCCGCGCGGCTTTGAGGCCACCTGGTGGCCAGTGGGGAGGGGTGTGGGGATTCGGGAAGCGCCATGGGGCGGCGCAACCCCAGCCCCACCCCCTC